CCCCGCCAATAAAAAAAATAATAAAAAAATCAACCCAACGCTGTCAACAAAAGATCTAATAAAACAGTAATAAAACTGATGAAACAGTAATAAAAAGTGATAAAGCAGTAATAAAGCAATAATAAAACTGTAATGAAACAGTAATAAAACTTTCATGAAACAATAATAAAACTGATGTTATAAAACAGTGGCAAAAACAGTAATAAAACAGTAATAAAGCTGCTGTAATGAAACAGTATTAAAACAGCAAACAAACTGTAATAAAACTTATCAAACGGTAATCAACGCACCTTTCTTTCTTCCAACAATAGGAAACAGGCACACAACATAGTAGACGCCGCGGCAGGCGGGGCTCAGGACGCCATATCCATCGTCGCCTCCATACTCGCCACCATCATCGCTTTCCTCAGCATCTTCTCCTTCATCAACGCCGTCATCGGTTATCTTGGCTCTCTCGTCAACATAGAAGATCTCAGTCTTGATGTGAGTGACGATGAGATTTATAATACGATGGGAATAAAGCGAGGACTTTTTTTATCCCATAAAACGCTGACCCTTTTGATAATGGCCGTTGTAAACAGGGTGATGATGATGATGATGATGATGATGATGATGATGATGATGATGATGATGATGATGATGATAGTAATGACTTGTGTAAAATTGAATTAATGGAAAAGACGTCCTTTGTATATTACAATATATTACATAAGCGATGGGTCGCATTCTCTCTGCGTCTCAACATCGCCCGTGGTATGAGTTAATTATTATTATCAATAACCTTTTAACCCGCTATCTTACATTTCACTATTTCACCCTTCTCCCTTCCATCCCATTCCTCCCTCTTCCACCTCACCCTGCCCCCTTCCTTGCCACCCCTCTCCCCTTCCGCCTCACCCCTTTACACCCGCCCCCTTCCACCTCGACCCCGTCGCCCCCATCAACCCTGCCATCAGACACTAATGTCGTACCCTCTGATGCCCGTGACGTATCTGATGGGCGTGGCCTGGGAAGACTGTCGTTCCATTGGCGAGGTTGTGGGACTCAAGACTTTCATCAACGAGCTCGTGGCTTACAAGCGATTGTCTAAAATGTCCCAGGAGGGACGTATTATCTCGGTCTGGAACTTTCTTTCGTTTGTCTTTCTTTCTTTTGAAGATGTGTTTTTCTTCATTCCTTTCTTTTTTTCGTTCTTTCTTTCCTTCTTTCCTTTGTTCTTTCTTTCATTTGTCTTTCCTCTTTCTTTCTTTCTTTCTTCCTTTCTTTCTTGTTTTTCTTTTTTTCTTTCGTTCTTTCTTTCGTTCGTTCTTTCTTTCCTTCTTTGACTTGTTCTTTCTTTCATTTGTCTTTCCTCTTTCTGTCCTTTTTCCCTTTTTTCCTTTCGTTCTTTCTTTCTTTCGTTCTTTCTTTCTCTCATTCTTTCTTTCCATTTAAAGAAAGTCTTTCTTTTCCAATGATTCCATGCTACCATGCTGTAATTGAAAGAGGAAAGACCAACTCTTATTATTATTCTTATCCTTTATGATAATTGCAGAGGTCGATTTTGCGAGTCCTCAATAAAGCCAGGCATCAGCATGCACTATGAAATAGTATAAATGTAGGCCTGCCATATGACCAAATTTTTCATTTATCCCTTACTATTGTAACCAAAGTTGTTTTTTTTTAACCTCGCTGAGGGCGACCTACACTTTACTTAAACCTTAATTTGTCTTCTCAGAAACGTTCAGAGCTCATCGCAACGTACGCGCTTTGTGGCTTCTCCAATCCTACATCAGTGGGTGTGGCTTTGGGCGGGCTCTCTGCCATGGCGCCCAATAAAAGAAAGGTAGGCGGGGCAAGACATCATTGCATCTATAATTGTCTGAGGCGACTGTGGAATTAAAAACACAATATGTGAGGGATCGTGTTGAAATCAAGGGCTCGTAAAAATAATGAAATCGAAGAAACTCGCATATTTCCGTTGGTGAAGTAATTTTTCATAAGTTATTTGTTTGGCTCAAAACCTTTCATTTCCTACAAACACATTTCTGTGTAGACTTTAAAAAAAAGCTGAAATCAAAGACATGAAATGTACATTTTTCCTTCCCATGGACTCTCAAGTTATAGTTACGAACTTTTGGCTGCCATTTTCTTGCTAATTTTACCTCTGAAAATAGGAAACGCCCACCTCTTTCAATCCCAAATATCTCGACTTCTATTCATGAAAGATAAGTATTTTTTTTCATTGAAAGCAAAACAAACGAACAAGTTTAATGAAGATACCAATAACTCCACATGCCACAAATTGACAAGCGCCTGATTCTACAGCGTCGTGACACATTATTATCTAAAGGGAAAAAGGGATGACGCTGACGATATTCAAATATTCTTGTTTTTTAACGTGTTTCACAACATTCCACAACACAACATTTGTGTGTGTGTGTGTGTGTGTGTGTGTTTGTGCGTTTGTGTGTTTGCGTGTATGTGTGTGTGTGTGTGTGTGTGTGTG